AATGGCTACAATATGCAGTTTTGGAGATTGGTATGACAGTCAATGCAGTATGTATTATCGCCTCTGTGATTGTCTAAAGGCGGTTTTTCTTTTAACATTTTGTTTGACATTTCTGCATAAACACGGCCAATTTGAAAATTTTACCCCTTTGTTATTTGCAACCCTTTAATGTGGGTTGTGTTTAAATATCTTTAATAATCAGTTATAAATGTCTGCCCCTTAGTGCTTCTTTTCTAAATGCTGATCAGATGCTTTTATGTCCGCATTTCTGAGTGCTTGCATCCGTTAATATTCCTGTTTGAGCTACAACGCTTCTTGCTTTGTTGGTCTGCAAAAACGATATTTTGCGTAAACCCAACGCCTTTTCTTGCTATGGGCCTTCCGTTAAAACGCGGTTATTCGTTAAGAGTTAAGTAGCAAAATACATACTTTTTGGAACTACTGCATCCTGGGTGAAAGTATGGCTTATTTGTTAAGGAAACATGAACGCCATACTTTACACACGCATTCGCTTAAGTATTTGCACTATAATTGCTTTCTTCTATTATTCAGGTTCTTCATATAGTTTACAAATTTGGCATGCAGGTCACATGGAGATTTTGGCTGAGCAGACTAAAGTTTTCTTCACACGCACCAGGAATTTGAATGTTTGAGTACACTCAACGCGTCTGTCAGTGATCGAATTGCTCCTGGCTGGTAGGGTCATGGCGTCTCAAGGTAGAACTCTGATACCACCTCGAGTCATGCACTTTTGCGCTTCACGCATTTGCACAGCAAATTGCCGGCGGTTTCCACCACTTAAAGTGGCAGAACTTTAGAGGAGAATCAAATAGTTCAGTGATAACTAAGTCTTGTTCCCACTGGGGATAAATTACAGAGGTGGAATTGGGGCCGCAAACACGTTCTTATTAGATGGGATTACTTTTACCATCGGTAGAACTCAGCTTCTGACGGTAAGTCACACTCGACTTTCCTTACAAAAACTTGCCAATGGAACCTTTTCGAAAATCCGTGTTGAGTGCTTGCCCAGATTAGATGATATTCGTTAAGAAATAATCGAGGATGGAAAGTAATTCAAGAAGTCCATAAGTGTCAATAGTGGCAAACCATAGAAAACCGAACATTCCAACAATATGTCTGTAAATATACAAAGAAATGGAAATTGATCACTATTTTTACATTGAATGCTAAAGTGTGTATCAATAAATTTGGCCAAAGAGAGGTTGAAGAGGAGGAGCCAATCCATCATTTCCTCAAAGTACGTACCAATACGAGAGGTGCACCCTGGAATTTTGAGGAACGTGACACTATTATCGAGCATTCACACAATTTGTTAATCCAAGCATTCAAGGTTTCGCAAAGGTGGCAAACATTAAAGGCTTCAATATATAGATGAGTGCACCGATTTCGCTTATTATGTTTATATTGATGTACAATAGGCCAAATCGTCTTGAAGAAGTAGGTAGTCGCGCCTTAACGGATGATGGCGAGGGAAAACGGCAAGTTAGAAGCTATAAATGAAAACAAAGAAGAAAACTGCCTTGAAATTTACAAAGAGCATATGGACCAGCCATTGACGTCTGCGATCACGTTAAATCGTTGTTGAGAGCTGCAAGAATGAGCAGTGGCTAACGCGCCAATGCGTTTAACGCTGACTTCCTATCTATTACAACTTGAAATAACTTTTGGGAGCAAGAGGCATGCGCCCATTCAGAAGTTGAAGTCAACAGCAGACCCTCAGACACTCAATTGGATCGTACAAGCTTAAGTTGCGACCGCCACTAACAAAAGCGTCCCAGATCACCTTCAACCCTACCAGCACCACCGACGAGTACGTAACAAAACAGCGATTCGTACCTGGGAAGCCAACGTCTTAGAGTCGAACAGATGATTCCAGATGGAAAGAAGGTGAGCGCAAGCACCCAAAATTAGTCAATATATCAAATCCTTTTGAGTCACCCCATCAGCCGAAGATAGACACCAGGTCCAGATTAATTGCACTCCGTATTGAGAAAAATGCGGATTACATCAGCAATATGCTAAGCCTAGTTTTGCCTGCGTCAAAAGGGTCATGAAGTTTTGAGACTCAATATGTTTTAGATCCCGATGAGATCAAAACCTATAAGCCACCGAGCGCCCTAAGTGAGTAGAAATGATTTCGACGCGTAGACTATCACTGAAACGTTGGAATCAGGATGCTGCAATTTCTTACGAAAGAACTGAGCACACAAGTACTTAGGATTTAGAAATAGATCGCCACGAGGGATGATAATCCTGAAGAGATCGCTATAGCTGTAACGAAACCACAACAAATCGCCGTTTGAAGATAACCATTCTTTTGGAAAAAAAGAGGTTACAATATAGTGAGAACGACATAAGCATGCGGTTGGCTCCCAAAGAAAACTGCAGAACTGAAAATAACGACGATCCTACGGATAACAATGTTCGCGAAGATATAACTTTACTGGTAAAACAGGGATCTGAAAGAAACAACAACCCAAAATGGACAAACTCCATAATTGCCGTCAGAACAGGATCAATCACGCTTTGAATGCGAACCCAATAAGTGTAATGACGCAACAAAGTAACGAAATGCAAAAAAACTATATTATTTGTTCTAGTTCGTGAGTATAGTAAAGAAGAATTTTCGCCAGGTCAGTAGCGGGTAGTGCATTTTCAGTCTGCTTATTTGACTTCGCAAAGATGTACCTGCCGTTAACTTGGGTCCAATGACGCTGAAATATGATAATTTGGATAAATCAACGGACGGTACCTGTTTTGCATAGGCTTTCATTTGTTCTGGTTTGGTGAAAAATAGAGCCTTAGCCGCTTCTTCAACAGACAGCTCCTCATAGGCTGCTTCTATACAAGAAGCTACTTCATCTCTTGAATACTATAGTTGATCGAAGTAAGCACGTACCTAGTAGCATCCAGAAGGATGTCAATAAAGTAGTTGTAGCGCTCCGATGGGACATTTCCTTTGGATAGAAACACCTTGTGAAAGCTACCCTCCATCAAATATTGCTCCATTGAGAGTGGATGCTTGATGTAAGCGTTCATGTTAATTTCTTCCGATGATAAACGCTCAACCTCCTAGCAAAATCAGAGAGAAAGGCATAATTACTGTATGGAACTCAGCCAATCTCCCCTGTGCAAGTAAGCGTAGCAAATTTAATCCGAACAATTCATACTTGTAGGGCGAATCAGGCAAATTAACCCTGCATGTTAAGGAGAAAGTAAAAGTAACGTACTTGTAATCACAGTAATAGCATTTCAATTGCGACATGTAGCGTTCAAAGGCAGCCATATCACGTTTTTCAAGAGATAAAATAGCGCCGATTTCCAGCGTGTCACCTTCATACAATGATTTGCCTAAGAAACAGCTTACGCGCAATGAGGAGCTCCCTTTTAGATGCGAAAGTTTCACGATTAGGCATATAACAAAATTGAGTCAGATCAAGCTTAAAAATACAAGACTATAAAAAAAATACCGTCAAATTTTCCAACTTTTCCTGACAAACAGCTAAATCATGGTTTTTTTTGTTCCATTCCTGAGAAAGACATTGAAACTTGCGCACAAGATCCTCCATTACTCATGAGATAAGCACAGACAAGCCACACAACTGTCAAGGTTATTATAATTACCGTCTGGATTCGCTAAGGTTCTTCAATAAAATATTAAAAAAACAAAGACCAAGTTGCACTTTTGCTCAATGTAGATGATACCCGCATAGTGACGTCGACGGCTAGAATTCATTAAATTTGTAATTTTAATGTTACCCATGGGTGTGTAATTGAGCAAAGGGAGCATCTATATATTTCTTTAGGCCATAAAGATATAACAGCTAAAACGACGTCGAATTTGAATGTCACCACACATTCACACTAATTCTGTGTTGCTAAACTTATGTGTTATGACGCAGTCCTCTTTTGCACTAATGATGCGTGACGACTTTCCACCATTTTCATAATATCTGTTCCGTTCTTTACTTAGTCTGCAACCGTACCGCTGCCAATTAACTGTCCAAAGTCACGCACAAGCCCTGCTTTCTGTGTGATTAAAAGCTCATGGACAAAAATTATGTCTACTATTGGCTTGTGGATAGTTTGTGGACGCTGGAGACCTTAAGCTTAAGCCATAATAGTTCGCTCTTTTCGAAGGTTGGTTCACTAAATCAGGTGAGCAAAGCAGTCTGTGTTATATGCATATGCATATATTAATGTTTTAAGTTACTTTTACAGGATAGAGGTAGTTAAGCGATTCGGACACGAATCCTGATTTTGGGGAGCGCGAACAAATATCTTCAGATTTACATCAGCTTAGTGCCCAATCAATTTCTCCCACTTTCTTTTTCTGTGCATGATAGCAACTGAACCTTCCTTAACCAACCCCCCCCCCC